GGGTTTAGGGGTGTACGGTTTGAGGTTTAGGGTTTCGGAGTTGAGGGGTTTACTGTTTAGGGTTTAGGGTTTGGGTTTAGGGTGTCGGGGTTTAGGGTTTAGGGTTTCGGGGTTTAGGGTTTCGGGGTTCAGGGTTTAGGGTTTAGCTATGACTTGGAATTGTCAGGGGCTTTAGGGTTTCGGGTTGTGGGTCGGAGTGCAGATGGGATAGCGGCCTTAATAATTACCTATACTATTGTGGGGGGGGGGGGCTCCTTATTGTAGTTATAGCATAATATACCCCCCAACCCTATTCTAATTATTAAGGCCACTACATTGGTCTTGTCTGGTTGGACTGGGGTCAGTTTGTAAGTTTGCTTAGCTTTTGGGGATTTGGGTCGAAACCTCGTTCGGATTTAGCTTGATCTATGTGTTTGGTTTCGGGGCGTTAGTCCCTAAGCCCTAAACCCTAAACCCTTAAAGCCGTAACTTTAAACCCTAAACCCTAAACCCTAAACCCCTAAACCCTAAACCTCTAAACCCCTAAATAAACCCCTAAACCCTAAACCCTTCAAGCCGGAAATCCTAAAAAATGCCACTCGTCTCTTTAATTTTTCCGGATTCGCAGTCTGGCTTCGGGGAGCGGTCCTGTGGTTAGGGGGGGTTTGGAATCAACGCGTCGCTAGGGTTTAGGGGTTTTAGGGTTTTAGGTTTTAGGATTTAGGATTTAGGGTTTAGGGTTTAGTTTTTCGCTTCTTCCGGTCAAGCTGTGCCGGCGTAGGCGCAAGTAAGCAATTGAGGGAGTTGTTAGCTTCAGGACGGGAGTCAGAATATTTAAATCGTGTCGTGGTTTGATGAGTATTAGTTGGCCGATGCAGTCGCTGCAGTGGGTCCTTGTGAGCAGTAGGGTCAGTAGGGAGGAGACAAGTCTCTTGCAAGATTGGGGCGAGTCCACCCAACGAGACATCCGGGGTTTGTTCGTCATGCTGGTGGGCTCCTTCATGATGGTGATGACGGCAGTTGTTGTTGTTGTTGTTGTTGTTGTTGTTGTTGTTGTTGTTGTTGTTGTTGTTGTTGTTGTTGTTGTTATTGTTCTTGTTTATGTTCTTGTTATTGTTGTTGTTGTTCTTGTTATTGTTCTTGTTGTTCTTGGTGTTGGTGTTGGTGTTGGTGTTGTTGTTGTTGGTGGTGGTGTTGTTGTTGGTGTTGTTGTTTTTGTTGATGTTGTTGTTGATGCAAAGGTTATCGTTATTGCTATTGTTAATATTGTTATTGTTCTTGTTGTTGTACTGGTTGTGGTTGTTGTTGTTGTTGTTGCTGTATGCTGTTCCTGTTGCTGTTGCTGTTGCTGTTGCTGTTGCTGTTGCTGCTGTTGTTGTTGTTGTCGTTGTTGTTGTTGTTGTTGTTGTGGTTGTTGTTGGTGTTGTTGGTGGTGTTCTTGTTGTTGGTGGTAGTTGTTGCTGTTGCCGTTGACGTTGCTGTTGCTGTTGCTATTTTTGTTGTTGTTGTAGCTACTGTGGGAGTCATTAGTAGTGGTCGTTGTGGTCGTTGTAGTCGTAGTCGTCTTCGTCGTCGTGGTACTAGTTACCACTGGAAGCACTAGTGGCAGTCAGTAGTAGCAGCAGAAGCAGTGGTAGTAGCTGCAGTTGTAGCTGAAGCTGCAAGTGCTATCGCTGCTGCTGCTGCTGCTGCTGCTGCTGCTGCTGCTGCTGCTGGCGGTGGCGCTGGTGCTGGCGCTGGCGCTGGTGCTGGTGCTGGTGCTGGTGGAGTGGGAAGAGCAGCAGTGGTAGCAGTAGATGTCCCTGGTTTGTAGTATACTCAGAGCAGGACGAAGAGGAGGAGGGAAAGGAGGAGGGGGCGGAGATGGAGCCGGAGTGAGAGCTGCTCTCGTCGATGTTGTGATTGCAGCAGCTGCTGCTGCTGCTGCCGCTGCTACAATTCCAGTGGCATCAACAAAGACAACGACAAGACTTCTACTTTTTGCAAGCCGCAATATCATGGCCAGTGAAGCCTTCTTGCCAGGGCCTGTCACCTGGGCAGCTGTCTTTGGCCGCCCGAGCATCTGGACGCCTTCTGCCTGTGCGCCCACTTGTGTTCTTGTTCAAGATCATAACGTGTGCGATTTCGTGGGACTCTTTTTGTTGCAATTCCGCTTGCTTGGATCTGTGTAATGCGTGTGTTGCTCTCTTGCTTCGAGTGAGGATTGCCGCTTTTTTGGGTTGGGGGTGAGAGGCCCTGAGGCGCTCGGGCTCAGGTCGAGGTTTTTAAGCCTTAGGGTTCCGGACCACCGCATCACGACCGAAACAAGCAGGGTTTTCAGCAGCATGCAGTTGACTCGAAATAGTGTGATCTGAGTCCCGATAACGCTAAACCCAGAAAGCTACACCAGAGGTGTCGGGTCCTAGAGCAATGTCGACACTTCAAGTATTTCGGTTCGTAATCACCAGGGAGAACCCCGACGCAAGGAAGGACCATGTGTTGCCGCAGACTGCGGCAGAGCTTACGAACCGCCAAGTGCATCTCAGCCTTGAGCTCTTCAAAGAAGCCTCATTCTGCGTCTCGGCTCTCCTCCTCAAGTCTTAAGCTTTGGTCAGACGGGCGTGGGGAACGTTCTCGCAAGGCCCATTGAAGCAAAACCTCTGGTATGTGGACCCATGTACAGAAGCCCTAATGCATACTAGTAGCTAGTAGGGTCCTTGTTCTACGAATGCTGACTTCTAGACTCTAGACCCACAAGCCCCAGACAGGGTACTCCAGTTTTCGGTAAGCCTGATATGCCGTTCCAGGTTCTGCCAACAGAAGCATCGGACCTCTTTAAGGTCCCCAGCCTCGAAGAGCATTAGGGTTACTGTTGGGCTTACCATAAGGGCGCAAGGGCTACTATAGAGTTTGCGGGTTTGTAGTTTGTAGGCTTCGCTGTTCTTCGGTGGGGAGGTTTTAGGTTGGGATTTAGGTTTGCGTGCTCAGGTGTGAGGAAGCCAGGGGAGGGGCTTCCGTTTGTAGGTGACTTAAACGCTAAACCCTCGGAGCGGACATCAGGATCATGGTCATGGCCTAGGGGTTATGGTTCGAGCTGCCCTTCAGGCTCAGTGAGTGGCTTTACTGTTGCTGGCAGGGATAAAGTCCTTTCAGAGTGTCTTCTACTACGTTGGAAGATTGTTGTTCTGGAAAATGACGGACCCTTACATAAACCGTAACTGTACTTTCTAAAAAGAGTAGGATCAGGTAGGATGGTTTGCTTTGTTGAGCTTGGGGCCTTTTTGTCTTTTTTAACAATCTTCCAGGGTTGGGGTCGGCATAGCTGTGCAGGGTCGTTCGTTTCGCTCGTTGCATACACGGCGAGGTTGGGCGGCAATGGCAAGGTTGAAAAGACACCGTGGAGGTGTGGGCCGGCCAAATAGCCTCGTGCAGCCGAAAGCTGCACTCCTTACCACCTGGACTTGCGAGCGGACTGGCGTCGGTGGTAGTCAGTCAAGTGTTTTCTTGTGTTGCTGGCTTCCCTCTCTCTCCCCAGCTGCTTCTGCGCTCCACTTCGGTGGGTGTGGATTGAATCGCCTGGTCTGCCGTGTGAACGGGTTGCGCTATTGAGCAAGCATTGCTGGCGTGCTGCTCCTCGTCCGGGAAGGGGGGATGTGGGCGGGTTGGCCAGGTTGGCCAGGTGGCTCTCTTGAAGATGGGTGCCCCCAATTTCAAGAAGCCCCCATGTCAGCTACGTGTGTGACATGTTCAGGAAGCTCTTGCGAGACGTAGTTGTTCGACGTGGCGAGGATTGAATGCTGGATTCTGCGGGTAGCCCCGAAAGCCCTGAAGGGCACCTAGGGCATCGCGAGGGGTCACCGACCTCAAGCCCGATACATGTCATACAAACATCATGTCTCGGACCCCGCGCAGCAACCTTTCCCGAGAGCTGCATCGCCATTGATTTCCAAAGATGATGATTGCATAGCTTTTCCGGGCTTAGTTCTCGTGGGATACGGTCACCAAGGATAAACAAACCCTCAAGCTGCAAGCCCAGCCATAAATTCGAGTCAAAGGGCCCATCCGAAGTATGTGGACAATTGAGGCGTTTCGTTCCGCTATCCCGAGGCCCCGAACTCATCAAGGCCATAGATATCCGTAAATCCTCAAACCTTGAAGATAGACATGAGCATGAATGAGAATCCCGAGATTCGAGCCGGAGGCTCTTCTGGAGCCCTTGTCCAAGCGCGAGGCCAATCTCCAGCAGAATCTAGCTTGCTGCTTGGAGCATGAAGCCGGAGCACCTTCATCACTCATCGTCCCCAGGCCCTAGAGACCCACTGGCCCCGACTCTTTCACTGAGGTCTTTCAGGTTTTCCTTAGGCGTTGCGGCACTGTCCTCGCTCGTTTCGGCAGGCCAAGGACAGGGAGTTGGCCACCGACCCAGAGCTGCCTTCAGAGCAGAAGAGTTTCGGTAAATGAGGTTGAATAGTATGTTGTCACTTTGGAAAAAAGTTGACGTAAAAGCAGGTTGCGGAAAGTTGAGCTGCGGTGCATGTTGCCACCTTTCGAGTCTTTGCTCATAGATATGTATATGTATACACATATTTATTTAGTTCTGTATATTTAGATGCATACAAAAGTGTTTTTTACTTATTTATCTACAGATTTTCCATATGTATATGTACTTATGTATGTATATATATATATATATATATATGTGTGTGTGTGTGTGTTTTAGTTTGCCGGGCCTGCGGTCAAGTTTGTTTGGAGCTCGCTTTGTTAAGCTGCATCATGGGTGCATGTACCATTGTGCACATGAATCTGCACATGTGTGTGCCATACGTGTATATGCCGTCATTCATTGCCCGTGCAATCACAACGCATGTATATATACACATACAGTTAATATATACTCTAATGTACATGGTGCATGCGTACATCTGGTTAGACGAGTATAGACGTTAGCTATGGGTATCTGTATATATATATATACCACCCTCACTTACATAGGCCTGAATTTAGGGAGGCGGGGTAGCAAGCAGTAATGCAGATGCTTTGTTGCGTGTGCGAGTTTTCACGACCCCATCTAGGGATCTCTAGTCTCTTAAAACCAGGATCCTTAGCACAAAGACCGTGAACGTTTTCTTGCAAGCTTAAGTTAAGAGATGCCCAGAATACCTTTAGGGATTCATTTTTGCTTGCTAGGCTCCATTCAAGACTCAGCACCCAACTAAGCAATGTTACTTTACATAGTCCCGTGGCAGGGCCTTTCAGTTTTCAATAGTCTGGGATGGCTCTACCCCAGAAGCCCTCATTTTTTTTTCAACAAGGATTCCATAAACTAACTGCCCTAAGCCCTTCGGTCTTGCAGAAGCAGTGACAAGTCTTCAAGAGACTTCTGACCTTTGAATCCCGAGTCTTGGTGTTCGAAGGGTTCTAGCTTCGGAAAGCCTTGTGGCTCTGGGGTTTGAGGCTGAGGGGAGGTTTTATGGCTTCTGGGCGTAGGCTTTGGAGGTTTGGGGTGTTTAAGACTTGCGGTTCAGGTCCTGGTGGCCTGTCGGCAGCTCGACGCCTCCTTGCGACGCCGGGTACTTAGCTATGCCGACCCAGCCGAACCATGAGGCTTTTAAATTCTCAGTAGAGTGTGCAAGACAGCTATTCGTATAGTCACCTTAAAAGGAACCTGGATTGGTCATTCCTCCGTGTTCTATTCTTACCCAAGGGCGTACGAGCTCAGGGATGTATATTTCAAATCTTAAAGTTGAAACCCAACCTCAGCCCCGAAACGCCGAATTTTAAACCCTGAACCCTAAGCTGCAGCTGCATCTCGAGATGTGCATTCCCCTTTCCTGCAACCGAGTGCTTCCTGCCGTATGAGCCATGACGACACCAGCGACGACAGCTACCACGACGACGGGACAGAGAAGTACGGTAGAGGTTCGAGGATGAAGGCTGTCTCAACGAGGGAGTCGCATAACAAAGGTCAAATTCGCGCTGAGAGCAACTAGACTTTCATGACCCGGTCGATTCCTTGCTGTTGATCCCTGGGAAAATCAGCATTTCTCGTCCATATGTGTATGCAGGCGTGTCTCGAAATTTAATTAGTCCTTTATGCTCTCGCGCTTGTCCATAGAATATCTGAGGTTTGCTGGCGGACACTGACCTCCTCCGTAGTGGTGGAGCGGAAGTTCGCGACGTCCTTGGATGTTGCGATGTATTTTTCACTAGCCGAGGCCCGAGGCAACCCTAGCTCTTCGAGGTTTAGGGTGTGCAAGCCAATTAAAGTAGCAGAACGTGGCAGAATGCTCTCACCAACCTAGCCCTGAAACATGATGTCCCAAAACCTAAACCCCAATACCCCAAACCCAAAGCCCTTGGCTCGCAGGGTTTTAGGGTTGCGGCAGCTCCACTGGCTCAAGGTCCCTCCAACATTGAGGTGCGCCTGCAGATCTTGTGCGGCGCCCGGGTCAAGACTCGAAAGCCCCAAACACCAAGTCTCAAACGCTAAACCCCCTAACCAGCAGCACTGGCAATGCGATGGAAAGTGGCAATCGGCGACGAGGACAGGCCTTCTTGTACCTGCAGGGAAGATTGCTTCAGGTGCGAAGCCAGAGACACGGTGGCACGTGACGCGGTATATCAATAATCATATACGACTGCAGAAAGTGTACCGTACCAGCACTGGTCCTTCTGTGCTAGCGGCTTCCTACGCGGCTGTTCGGAAGTTGGGTTTCAAGTTTTCGGCCTTCTCGGCTTTAGCCTTCCGAATGAGCGAGCTGTGTTTCAGATGTAGCAATGTAGCATTACTGCGAGCTACAACAAAACACCGAATGGCCCTCAAGCAAGAACCCAAGTGGTCGGCATTTTCTGCGTCCAGCAGCGCAAAGACCTGTTCGAATCAATAGGTTTCTTAGAACTTCTCGAATCAGTAGAAGTTCAACAATGACTCTGCAGCCGTGCTGTTCTTACGTGCTTTGCCCATTGTCATGTTCGTCATGCCAAGCCCTTGTGTTGGCGCTGCTGGAAATGCTGCTGCTACTCTTGCTGCTCGAAAACAAGTACAAGTACCAGTACGGGTCTTTGTTCGGGGTCCCGTACAGTCCTGCCCTATCCAAGGGTCTGGAGATGGGCCCACAGCCGAGATTTCAGAAGCCAGGGGTTACAGTTCCGCCGTAGGGCACGTCAAGTATTTAGACATCGATTTGCTTGAGTCGTTTCACGCCGGGGTAGGCTGGAGGCAGGCATGGATGCAAGATACTGTTGTACAATACCTCCCCTCGAACGGACGTAGCAGCATGTGCAAAGTCGCAGAAGCATATTCTGAACATGATGCAAAGAACCTTCATAAGCTTATCATTAGAGGTACGGTTTGCCGCTGCACGCCGCTGCGCTGGGAGATATGGAGTCTTGCAAGGATCTGGCACGTGTGGTGGAGGCTGGACACAGAACTTTTGCCTGGAGTTGATGGTTGCAGGATCCAGGGTTCCGAGCAGAGCCTATCATGTATACCAGAGAGAGAGAGAGAGAGAGCGATTTTCTTTTGTGCCGAACATGTTTGATCACAGGTCTTGTTGCGCTGCGGAGCGTGATGGGATTCTAGTGATTATCTATGCACCATCCGGCTAAGGCTCCGGAGTCGAGGATTTGTCTGCGAATTCGGGCACGGTGGCTTCAGAGGTTGAAAGCTCCAGAGTTTCTGTCGTTGGGTCCTAGCCTTCGCCGGACTGGAAATATTGGACATTATTGGACTTCACGCTGCGATGGCTTCCGTGACCTCAGGGGAGTTGTGTTGGTATGCTTGTCGCGGCCATGAAATCGCCGCTGCTGGTTGCGGCAAGACCAAAGTGCCAGGTTCAGGGTTTAGCACAGTTTAGGAATGCCGTGGTACAACAGTCTAGCGAGACGAGGGTCCGCATGGTGTACCTGGTGTGACAAGGAGGCATCCATGCTGCACAAGCACTTTTGCACGCTCTGCAAAAATCGAGTCCTTGTAGTTCGAAGTGGCCCGGATGGACAAATCCCTGTCGAGAGACGCCGCTGCTCGTGGCATGACATGAAGTCGTTGTTTAGTTTGGTCTGCAACGACGACAGCCTCATCTCTCGAATTGGGGGCTGAGGTATAGATGCTGTCTGCAAAAATGTTTTGGTCGTCGTTTAACCGGGTGGTGTAGTCCTGGTGAGAAGTGACACTCGGACATTCACACAGACACAGTCTTTGATGGCGTCTTTTTCACTCCGTTATTTACCATTCGGACCTTTGGCTCTACCGAGGTTCAAGTTCTGTTCTTGTTGGAGGCTCGCGTTGGTCTAGGCTGCAACATTCGAGCAGCATGCGTTTTCTCAACCAGCAGAGTAGGTCCGACCTGCTGGCAACCATCTTAAGTACCACACAACAGAAGCAAAGATCGAGCCCAAGCTGCCCCACGAGTCCCGTTTCACCATGCCGAACCGTCACTTGTCAGCCACAAACCCGCAGCCGAAACAGACTGGCACATGCTGCAGGCATGGGTGCAGAAGCTGCTGGAGGCCTGGGAAGCCGATCCCCAACTCCTACAAACTTCGTGCAGCCAGGTGTGATTCGGCATGTGCTCTGGTTGATGAGGTGGGATAGTGTAGCGGCGTAGCTTATAGTGCCAAGCTGCCGCACCTGATTTTGAAGTGTGGTTCCAGTACGGTGGGTGGACTCGGCGTGTCCGGGTGCTGCGCGCGTGCTGCCACTTCGACATGTTTGCAGCCCGTCAGTACTTGACGGCATGCTCCTAAAAGTTCATGGGAAGGTTCATTTACAGCGAATCCATGCAATTCGCTGATGTAAGAGAAAGCAATACACGGAACACTTGTTGCTCTCGAAAACCCTTGAATCAAGTACTTGGGGGAGGCAGACCTGCTCCCGGCAAAGCTGTTTGGCGCTGGTCCTGGATCCGCCGGTTCTTGGGTGAAAGCGATTCCCTCCGCTCGCGTACCTGTCTTATTCTCGCCAGTACTTGCGGGACAGCATTCCGGACGTACTCCTCACTGCGCCACTACTTGGAAAATCAGCATTTGCTCAGTGTCCTTGTGCTCTCCTGCGGCTGTCTTGGGAGTTTGCTGCTGGTCTCGTCCTGGTCTGCTGGTGGTCTCCTGGTGGTCTCCGAGGTCGTCCTGGTCGTGGTTCTCGTGCTCTCTGGATGCTGTCCTGGCTGTCTCCTGCTGGTAAACGAATGAATAAAGGAAGGAAGGAATGAATGAAATGAATGAATGAGTCAATGAATGAATGAACGAATGAATGATCGAATTAATGATTTGAATTGAATTGAAATGAAATGAACTGAAATGAAATGAATTGAAATTAAATGAATTGAAGGGAAATGAAATGAATTGACTTGAACTGAAATGAAATGAACTGAAATGAAATGAATTGAAATTAAATGAATTGAAGGGAAATGAAATGAATTGACTTGAATTGAAATGAATTGAAATGAAATGAAATGAAATGAAATGAAATGAAATGAAATGAAATGAAATGAAGCAATCAATGAATGAATGGATGATTGATTGAACGAATGGATGAATGAAAAAATGGATGAATGGAATAAATGAACGAATGAATGGATGGATGAATCAAATAATGAGTGGATGAATGGAACGAATGAATGGATGAATGAATGGTTGGATGACTGACTGAATGCATGGAATGAATGAATGAGTGAATCAATGAATGAATCAAATGAATGAATGAATCATCGAATGAAACATCGAGTGAATGGTCGAATGAATGGTCGAATGATTGATCGAGTGAATGATCGAAGGAATGAAGGAACGAAGGAATGAATGAGTAAATAAAATGAATGTATGATTGAATGAATGAATGAATGAAAATCAAAGCGTGGATGGAAATTAATGACTGAAAGAATGAAAGAATGAATGAGTGACTTGAACTGAAATTAAGGAAGGAAGGAAAGAATGAATGAAAGGAATGGAAAGGAATGAATGAATGAATGAATGAATGAATGAATGAATGGCATGAACGGAATGAAGGAATGCAAATGAATGAATGAATGAATGAATGAATGAATGAATGAATGGCATGAACGGAATGAAGGAATGGAAATGACTGAAGGAATGGGAATGAATGAAGGAAGGGAGATGAGTGAAGGATTGGAAATGAAGGAATGGAGATGACTCAGCGGAAATGAATGCATGAATGAATGAATGAATAACTTGAAAGCATGGAATGGCACTGAATGAATGAACGAATGAAAGTAATGAACGAATGCAAGGATGGATGGATGGATGGATGGATGGATGGATGGATGGATGGATGGATGGGTGGATGGATGAATGAATGCATGGAATGGATTGGAATGAAATAAAACGAAAGCACGAACTGATGAGATCACCTTCGTTCGGCGTTGCCTCGCTGCTGTAAACGCTTTCGGGGGACTCGTTCTGTATTTTTGCAGGCCAAAGATGCCCCAGCCTATGCCTTGGCCACCGCCTACCTGGCAGCCAGCACAGCCTCCGACCTGAATTTCTGGTTGACATCAGCCACTCAATGTTCTTGGATATAGGGTTTAAGTTTAGGGTGATCTCACGTTATCAGTTTATCAAAGGGTGATATCACTTTATCAGTTCATCAGGGAAGCGATCTGTTGGATTTGAGGCAAGTTGCGTGCCAAACTTCATACCTGAACCCCATCAAAAGACATCAACAGTCAAGCTATGTGTGTATACGTATATGTATATATATATATATATGCCCCCCTTCCGGCATCTAGGTTTTCGTCTTTATGCTGATGCTTTGCTTAAGTGGGCCGAGGGAAAGGGCATTTCGCAAACACGAGTCAGCCAGGAATTATGGATGTTGTGTCAAAAGTCTGTGCCGAAAGCAGCCTATATGTTCGCGTGAGCATCAGGAGCAAGCACGAAATAATCGGACAGAACAGGCTGCGAGTGCACGCGCACGCAAAAGGAAGTAAGGAATGGCGTAGGAAAAACTGTTTTGTCAACACAACAATGTCAGTGTTGTTAGTGGGTTTCTCAGTCTGGTAAACGAACTAATCTTTGAGTTCATTGCTTAAGGTAAGCATACTGTTACAGGTAATGCTCCAAATCAAACATAATACAACATGCCGTGGCTGCGCATTACGCTGTAGGCTCTATGTTCCGTTGTTTATTGGTCGACGCTGCTAGCTTTTACCTTTACAGGCCCAGTTCATTTCGACATGTTTAGTCTGAGTTTAGTTCATGTTAAGTGTGTGCATAATACAAGTCCTGTGCATTTATGGGTCGGGCTGGCATTCGTAGACTTTTCAAAAACGTTGTCGAACTGTTGCACTTACCAAACGATGACCACTTGACAATGATGTATGACATAATTCTGGTGCAAATTTAGTCTTTTCAGAACGGGCTCTTTGTTGTAAGCAAGTAAAGTCACGCCGAAAATGCATAAACACAGCGACTAATCCGGGCGATGCAAACACCAAGAAAGATATGACATAAGTAAATACTTTATACATCTGATCATCTGTCTTCGGAAGTGTTTGGTTAAACCAGCATAGGCATGTTCGTACAACAATCGTCATAGTTTTCCTATAGTAAAGTCGCGAACAGTAGACATGAAGTATAGCTCTGTTCGTGATAAATAAGCACACAAAACCACTAAACTGGTGTTCGCACAGAAGTATAGTAAACAAAAACTTGCTTCCCCAGAGACGCAGCAAGCAGCAGAGGGACACGAACACATGTTTTGAACAGGAGACGACAACCTAGGTACCGGAGGGGGTACCATATGTATGTATATATATATATATATCCCGAAGTTCTGAACTTTCCAGGCAAAAGGCCACTCAAGCCCTAGTCTGCTGTTGATTGTATAGGCCTTCAGACGATCGCTTATGGTGCATTCTACAGGTCACATATTTCGTGAGCGGACTTATGGAAAATTAGCGACCCGACCTGAGCTCAATTCCACATGCCGAATTCTTATAACTTTTCCAGTATGTATATATATATATATATATATGTGTGTGTGTGTGTGTGTGTAAAGTTGTACATACACATACATTTATGCATTATATATATATATATACGCACATGCACACAAAACCAGAGACAACAACGACAAGCCTCGCAAGGACAGCAATCCCCAAACACCACCTGAACTCGTTTACAAATGGAGCCGTGACAGTTCCACAGTCACCAAAGGGCTGAGTTGTAACAGCCCCGATTAGGAATTGAGAATGAGTTTTGGTTTAGGGTTTGGGCAGGTGGGTGGCTTTGAGGTTTACCGGCTTTTGCTTCTGGCTTCGTATTGTAGCGCAGTCCAGCCCTTCACAGAAGACAATTGGGTCCGGATCGGCATGCTTTTTTGGTGAGCGGATGTGCACTTTTGCACGGACCAAGGATTTCAGGGTTTTGAAACCTAGGCTGTCGAAGCCCCCTTCGATTGGGATTCGCCTTCTGCACAGTTCGTCTAAGGTCAGGCATGCCCTCCTGGTCGCTGAGGAGGCAACATGCTCTGACCACCCGTTTGAGCATGCGCTCGGGAAGACTCAGCAACCTGATTTCAACATGGAGGCTTATGTAAAGATTTTCTGGCCAACTAGCGTGGGCTAGGAGATCAACAAGATGTCAAACCCTTACGCGCTGAACTCAGCATCCCAGGGTCTCCCGACAAAAATTTCAAAATTCCTCTATAGCCGAAGCTATCAGAAGAGAGATTGAATGCAAACTGAATCTCTCCGCACCCTACACCCGAGAATGCTAAACTGCAAACCCCCTGTCTTCGACACCAGTCCACAGCATTGCCCCACGCACAGACACTCACTCGAAAAACACAACCCTGAACCCCTACTAGGATTTGGGGCCCGATCCTAACTACGCGCAAGAAGAAGCGCGGCCACAAGTCGGAGGAAGCACTGGCAAGTGGTCTCGGTTCTTCGTCTACTGCAGCCCTGGCAGCCTTGGCGAGGCGCCAACTTCCAATTCAGTAAAATTCCGTAATTTTGCGTCGATTGCGTCTTGTCTGACCTACATGTCCAGCTGTTCGTCTGGGTATTGTGTTTTTGTAGATATCGCAAGCTCGCTGCTGGCCGTGTCTGGGCTTTGAGATACGGCGTCGGTTGCAAACAAGTTGTCTGGCATCCTTCGCAAGTCTCGGGCGTTAAAAGTCTTGTCAGCCATGTTAATCCTGTGCGCCATCTTGGAAATCGTATTTCTTACACCTTGACCCCTGAAAGCCCCTTGAAACTATGCGTTCCAAGACCCGGGCACCACGGCGTAGCTTGCTGTAGCTTTTGGGGGGTTCGGCTTCGGTGCGTGGCCATCAGGTTCTTTAACAACACACAGAGTTGGCTAAGGGTATCGATTTTCTGAACATGCGCTGTTTGGGCTCACAGCTTGAGATCAAAATGTGAACCGTAGAATAGGACCACCGCAAGGATCCTTCCAGCAAAGTGGCCTCAAGACCTAAGCCATCAGCCTTAGCTGTCGTCGGGCCCGAAGACGAGGGCCTGGCAGCCTTTCGTTCAGTCGTGGTCGATGGGTTGGGTGGCTCTTGAAATTAAGAGTATGTTTTTGGAGGGCTTCTTAAAGCAAGGATGCCATTTATTTCGGTCTACAGTGAGGGGTTCCTAATTTCTGAAACTTCCAGTTTGCAAAAGAGGCGAACGTCGCAGGGTGTTGACCATTTATTTACCACTTCCATATGGCAAGTGTTGAACACGGCCAGCTAGACAAACCACAACGTCCAGAAATGATCACAGAATGTTCCAGCCAAAAACCTCAAAAGCAAGAACCCCAAACCTTAACCCCTTGAAGTCCTAAACCAGTGCACCCCGAAACCTGAGCCCCCATTCCGGTGAAGCTTGGAAGCTGCACGACTCAAACTTTTCTGCCTTAGCAATGAGAATTCATAGAATACTTGCTTGTGTTCCCATGAGGGGAGGGCCCGAAAGAAAGGGTGCCTTATTCAGGTATTAGTACTTATCGCATTATTTTGGATCTCTAATTAGGGTCCCCATCGTTTCGAAGCTACCAAAATTGTTTCTGCAGCCCCAAAATACTCATCCACCTACTCCAACGATCGAAGCCCCCGATATTCTGCCCGATGTTCTGTCAGGAGTTTTCTATCATGACCAATAGAGACCTGAAATGAGTATTCTCAACTTCTGACCACAAAATCACAGGGTTGATAGGGGGCCCCTGTAAAGAGGACCCCTGTGGGTTGCACTTTGCCGAATGGGCGTGTTGCGGCCCGGTGAAGCCTAACAGGGGCAAATGGGCCACGTTAGGCCCCATTGGGCCGCAACGCGCCCATTCGGCAAAGTGTTGACAGGGTTCCCTTCCTCAGGGACCCCTTATCAACCAGCTGGCAAAAGGTCCAGATGTTTAAAGCCAGGCATTGGAGCAAGATCTCTGCAAACGAGGCAGGGCCTGTTGCTTGATGTCCCGGGATATCTCAATTCTTTGGAACTCATAGAGCTTAAAGTTAGGCATCTTTCGGACGTAGGCTTAGGAGATACTCATGATGAACCTCTGTTTGCCCGGATTGGGGTGCACATGGCAACTTTCCCTGCGCCTGGCCGACTATACCGGAACCATGTTACTCATGTAGTCTTTCCCTGCAAGGCCTGTAAACCTATCAGAGGAGCTGTTGACAACGGGGTAAGCCAATATTACTGACTAACAACACTACAAACTGTAAGCCTGAATTTCAGGCTCCTGAGAGAAATCCTTACAAATGTTACAGAACCCAGTCCAGGCAGCCGTCCAAGCACGCTGCCCCCACATGGAGGCTTCAGAAAGTAATCTGCCCCTAGGTGCCCCGTTATAAAGACCCCCACCACGAGCACTCGAGCTCAGCTTATGGTGTGAGTAGGGCTCAGGGTCCACTGACCCTGGAACCGCGAAGCTTAAGCCCTGAATCCGGAACTCGTTTACTCTAGACGTTGAGTCTTGAGCCAGACAGCACCCTACTCTGGCAGATCAACATTCTCTTCCGAACGCCCGGTGATGTCTCTGATGCGGGCTCCTCAGTGCTCGCGACTTGTTGCTTCTTCCGCATTGCAGAGTCGAACCCTCCGCTGCATACCTTGCCCTCACTTCATGGAGCGTATGAAGGTTCTCGAAATTAGAACGCCAGTATCCCAATGGAGCAAAGCTTATGTCTTCATAAATCCTGCGCTGGTCCACGTTCCTCAAGACGGTGTTTCTGCACCAACGCGGTGAAGGTCACAGCAGAGGCGCTGAAGCAAGCGGAAAACATCGAGGCGCCAATTGAGCGAATGGGCTCGCCAGCCGATGCGTAAACCTACAGTAGGCTCAGAAGCCACCATGAACAAGCCACTTTAGTACCACAGCTAGCACTTTCATCGCAGTAGTAGCAATATGAAAGGTGATGGCAGCGGCGAAAGTTGAAGTAAATAGCCGTCATGATAATTCTGATGATATTAGATAGTGGGAAGAACGAAGATAATCTTTGTAGAGTTGTCATGGTTTGCATTTTCTGGGGTACTGGTACTAGACGGGAACATCAAAATGGCCGGCTGACTAGTGGCGTACAATCACAGAAGTACACATGTTGCCCAGTACAGGTATTGCTCAGTTCATGTTCGCCAGCAAGATGCTCTTGATGTTTGCAATGACCCCAACATGATTCCCCTGATTGTGTTGTTGGCTGTGGTCTTCGCCGCGGTGATATACATGATAATAATCACGAGGATATGGGTGGTGAAGATTCATTATTGTACTGACGCCAGTGATGGTGCGGACCAAGTGCTGGTATTCCGTCAGCCCTCAACGCCTAGAACCAGGCCTAGAACCTGAAATCCTGAAGCCTACTCGTACCCTCTTAACCTCTACGGTAGGCTGGACCTGACTGTCCCAGAGCCCGACATGCTCACAGCAGGATGCTCATGCGCTAGTCGTACTCCTCCAGGCTCGCGATGTTGGGAGGGGGTGATATCAACAGCTTTGCGGAACCAGTCAGAGATTGAGCTTTGGGCGAATTTGCCTCATGCACATTCTATGTGAAAAGGTGAGGGTTTTCCATTACTACCCCCGGATCCGAGTTCACTCGACGTTCCCTTGCCCTTGTAGTCTTGTCGCGAATACCGGGCCATCGAACTCAAGCGTAATTCGCAACCCCCTAGTTCTAAATCCCAAGCGGTGGTACACACGGATCATAATTGGTACATGTTCAGAAGATGACAAGCTTAGGGCAGTACTGCTCGGGCTGACATGACTTAGCAACATGTTGGCAGTCTCGTGTGCAGCGACCTAACGCCTCTGTGCAGGAAAAAACTCTCGAGCTCCGGTGCCCCCCTGTAGGTCTCACACATGCCGCCGGGTGTCGCAGCCTCAGGAACATCCATTGTCTGTGTTGATCAGCTAGTAAACAATATGTGAACCGTCAAATTTCAAAGAAGTTGTAATCGTGGTGCGCATCACACCTACAGACATGAAACTAGTGCTTATGTGTTATGAGTGACAGCTTTGCGGCTGCATTTGCAGCGGCTGTTGCTGCTGCTATTACTGCTTCTGACCTGCAATGTTGCTTCTGCTACTAGTACTACTACTCCTGCTGCTACTGCTGCTGCTACTACCTACTACATCGCCACCACAATGGCTGCTATCTCCTCATGCAAGAACGTTGCGCTCCACCGGCCTGATGGCCACGTGATTGTCTGCCGAGTGCAGATACTCACGCATTCTTTCCGTGTGACGATGCAGATAACTGTGTGCCAATGGCACCGGGTGTAACACGTGCTCCAAACATCCGCCGCTAGGTGGTCTCGATGCTGACCGCTGTGCACAAAGCTGACAAAGCTACCTACGACGACTACTACCACAACTACTACCACCACGACGACTACTATCACTGCTACTACGACGACTACTACGACGACGACTACTGCTCCCGCTACTACTACTACTACTACTACCACCACCACTATTACTACTATTCTACTACTACTACTACTACTACTACTACTACAACTACTACTACTACTACTACTACTACTACTACTTCTTCTACTATACTACAACTACTCCTACTTCTACTCCTACTGCTACTGCTACTGCCGCTGCTACTGCTACTGCTACTGCTACTGCTACCGCTACCGCTACCGCTACCGCTACCGCTACCGCTACTGCTACTGCTACTGCTACTGATACTGCTACTGTTACTGCTGCTACTACTACGGCTACTACTGCTACTACTACTGCTCCTACTACTACTACTACTACTACTACTACTACGGCGACGAGGACTGCAAGTGCTACTGCTAATCTACTGCTGCTCCTGATTCTGCCCCTGCTCCTGTTACCGCTACTTCCGCTGCTGCTACTGCCACCGCAACTGCTACTGCTATTGCTACTCCTCGTACTCCTACTCCTACTCCTCCTACTCCTCCTACTGCTGTGACTGCTGCTGCTGTTGCGGCTGGGGGCTCCCCTTGCCGCTGCCGCTGCTGCAGTTGCTACTGCCTACTGCTACTGCTATGCTTGCTCCTCTACCATATTGCTCCCATTTGTATCAATCGTGTTTGTCGTCAAGCCTGAAATCCCCCCGAGCAACTCGTATAATGCCATGCTTTGAACTCCAAGGCCCTGAACACTAAGCCGTCAAGTCCCAATGGTGAAGAGCTTGGAATCCGAAGCTCAACCATGTGGTAGGACATAATGTAGTGCATGATCAAAGCGTCATATAGTACACGATGTACAATACGGTTCGCAGCGCATTATGCTCTGGTGTAAGAACGTTTGCACAATATCATGCAAGAGTGTAGCTAGCCAACACGAGGCTCCGGGACTGGCCGATGCCGCCTGTACCGCACTGCGTGGCCTCTCAGCAACCTGCTCCGCTGTGGCTGAGGGCTTCAGGGATGTGGGAGTCGGGATCAGGAAGTGAGATATTCAGGGTTCTCGTGTAGACTTGGCGTTCCATAATGGAAAGGTCGGGCAGTTTGGAGCCGTGCCTCCTTTGCTTGTTAGAGCGCCATACCAGTGACCATAAACAAGGATCAGCCCTCAGACCGAAAACCTCCAGGTTCCTTTGATAGCAGTGCCAGATGCATGCATGAGGATGGCGCGAGTGGAGACGATGACGGACGCCACCCAGCTAAGCACGCTGGAGGCTCTGGGCTTTAGGAAAAAGCTCTTGCAAGCCACGATACAAGGTGGGCGTATCCAGGCATCAGCTGCCAGCTCGCGATCAAGAAATGTGAGCGAAATCCCCCTCCATGCGAGTACAATGTAAGATCTTTCAAGCTCCAGTCTGCGGAGAGCCTTGCATTGTGAGGGTCTTCTCAAGGTGTACTGTAATTTAGACTGAAGCGTCCTCGACTTTTTTCATGGGCTCCCAAGCAAAGGCCACTGTAGACCGATTCGGTCACCTTCTTCAGGCGATTCCTGGAGTGTTACAGGTTTGTGGCATCTGTCTCGAGCAACTCGGGTTCCTGGGCCTGCAGGCTTCAGGTTTCGGGTGAGCACGGACCCAAAAAAAGGCTACGCTTGTTGATTTACGCCTTACGGCCCCCACTTCGGGTTCTGGGTGTAGGGTTTAGGTTTAGGGCCCTTCGATCCGGCGGCCCAGAATCCTGCAGTCTGAGCTGTAACGTTTGTCCTTGGCGCAGCACAGTGAAAGTAGCAAGTAGTATCGGAGGCGCGGACGGAGCATGATTTGGTCGTAAAACATCCGATAAACACTGGGCATTCTGATGGTGACACGAAGGAAGATGGTGATGGTGATTACGACGAGCACCAACATAACCCTATCCGAAGCACTGATGGTTGATAGTACCAGTACTTTACCGCCGTATACTGTACTCATGGCGTTACAACTATCGGATCTGTTTATTGATAGCTGGCCAGTGGTGAAACTTGCCGGCAGTGCTGAAATCCGTCACTTCAGGTGAATGGCATTTTCAGGGGTGGGCTTCCAGATTGTCTTACATCCTAAGTCCGAAGCAACGAGGATGGGTGAGAAAAATAAAGGTTGTAGTTGTCACCGCACAACTCTTTGCGTTTGCCCAAGAATTTTGGCTCTGGAACAGTTAACATGCGTAGCCTGCACAACCCAGATCCCACACACAGCCTGTACAATTTCATCGTCTTGGTCGAAACAGGCTGGTTTCCGCAGGCCCTATTGCCTTTGTTGGAGAACCCGCTAAGCCCCCCCGTAACTCCAAACTTCCGGCCTGTGCGGGGTGGAAACCTTACAAACAAGCAAATAAGGCCCTTATCCTTCGGAGGCTGCCACGCGCAAGGGTCCCAAGGCCGGTGTGGAGTTCCAGAAAGTGGCCGAGCTCCGACAACGCCAGGGGCTCGTGAGTGCGGGTTGTGCAGGGCGTCACAGAGATTTGGCGTAAGGTTTCTCTTGCTAAGGGTTGTATGATGTTGTATGTATGTTCTAGTTCAACACGTTTTCTGATGCAGAGATGCTCCCGAACGGTAACTTACTGTTTTGGAGGGTTGTTTCGGGTTCTAGGGTCTGTGGTTGCAGGCCTACTGCAACGGTCATCAAAGACGGGGGTTGGCTACAGTTGTTTAGGGTCTGTGAGAGTGTGAGGCTGGGTGGTTTGGGGTTTGGGGAACAGCTTTTTGTTCGGATTGATATGTTTGTCGAGTTGCAGCGGTGCTGCCCGGGCGTTTAGGATGCAAGGTCGCACCCCTTCCCGTTGCCACTCGAAATCTCCGCCTTGCAACAGCTGCAGTCAGGATCTGCAGAGTTTGTGGGAATATAGGACTGTAGAGATGGCCCATTATTGCAACCGGAAAATGCTTACATACAAGCTTTGCTGTAAGGGGTGAGCGTCATTACTGAAATCTCTTCTGCATGTCTAGCACAAGTTTTCTCCTTCGAGATGTGGCTTGGACCATGATTGTGATGCCAACGGTCGTGCAAGACATGCTTGGTAGGCCAAGTTGTCTTGACAGGTCCACTTGCCATCCGCACAGCTGTTTGCATCTTTGGCCCGTCATACCACCGTAGTCTACAGCCTATTCTACGATCTACAAGGTGGCAGCACAGGAGTCAGTCGGGCTGGGGTCACGGCTATCGTGATTCGCGCAATTCGCAGCACAACATGGTGTTGGGCTATCCTAAAGCGGCCCGCTTGACTGCTTTGAAGGCGATGATCCACCTATGTACGCCCTGCTAATGTTATAGTCCTGCTCTGCATGACCAAAAACATTGGGCCTGCCTGGAGCAACGACCCACAGGGCGGACCTGAGACTTTACAATAGAACCTTCTCAGCACCGTAATCGTGGGAACCTAAGCAAGAAAGCTAAGATTCTGACTAGGGTTCTCAACATAGGTCCTACTGTTTTGGCGGCTCCGAACCGCAGGTTCTGAATCAAGCTCCAAAATACGAGCTGCCCCGGCGTTTCTGGGAGGAATCCGCTCACAGCTCTTCAAGGCAGTGCTGAATGCAAAGCCCATCTGGCACTCGAAGCCCAACAGAGGCTTCGTTCTGATAGGAGTTCAGGGGTGGGTGGGTTCGGGTATGAGGGCGGAGGCTTTAGGTCCAGATTTTTTGGATGTTGGTTATACATACAGTTATACATATGCGGTTCAGGGCTTCAGGGTGGCGAGGGCTGCGGGGGTTTAGGGCTTGAAGGTTGAGGGCTTGGGATCTAAAGTCCCACGCAGGGCTTTGGAAGCTTGAAGTTCTGTTTCGCAAGAATTTGAATTTAGGGTGTGGGCCTTACGGGGCCCCCAATTGCATACTCGCCACCCTGAAAGCTGGAATCGCTAGCTGCTAGACCCTTCACTTAACCTTCTGTGCGAAGAACAGAAAGCGAATCGGCTTGCTCCCTACTTCATGAGGCCCTTCATGCATGCCTACGTAGCACTATGCTCGTAGCTATAGCAGCGAAATATAGTTCATATATCGACGAAGGTGTCGAGATTTTAATTTTGCCAGCAGTTGTGTTTTTCAGGTTGCTGCTGCTGAAACGATCCTCGGGGGTCCGAGGATTCAACTGATTTTCGTAGTGCGGAGAGGTGGGTAAACACTTTAGGAAGGAAGACAGCAGATCACAAGCGTCATCAACATTTTGCGACAGCATATGCCCTCACCAGAAACAGGATGCGGGACCGGATACAGGCATGGCAACCGACTGAAATAGTTAATTACACAGAATTCGCAGAGTCCTTTTAAGCAGTATCCGCAGGCCATGTTCTGTGTTGTAAACTTAGACTTAAACTTATGAAGATTCGGATACAAGATCGGAAACATATCTCCAACCTCGTAGGCTTCATCCGCTACGTCGAGAAGGGCTTGGAGAAAGACCGGCGCCCCAAAGAGGCGCCAAATCGGGCTCGCGGTGCAGCATGTGAGATACCTGGTTGCAGCTTTCTCGGATTCCTGGTTCTACTGCTTTTGCCATGTTTGGCAGTTCCGATGCTTTTAAACAGCCATGTCCCAGCAGGATGCTTCGCGGAGGTCATGCAATATGTCCACGGCCGAAATACAACATCCTCATAGCGCAGAGGGCCATCCCATGTCCGTAAAGCCGTCTAGTCACAGCACCTCGGAAGACAGGACGTTGCGAAACGCGAGGACCGGGGATCTCAGGGCTTCGGGAATGTCGGAGCGTGGTCAGGTCGTCGACCAGAAGCAGCTCCCCGCATTTGGTTTGATGAGTCTTGGATAAAGGGTTCCAGGTGATGGGATTGTTCCCGCTACTCTAGAGTTCAGTTCAGGATGACAGCGATCCTGAGACTGGAAATCGGAGAGGCGAGCTGAGTGGAGGTATTCCGCAAGAACGGTCTTGTAGCTCCTCCACATTCAAAAAGGATAGTGCCTAGTCCTTGAAGAGGCTGGTTAGTTCAAGTGAGTTGACACTAGGAGCCGTTTGTGGCCCAGCAGCCGGCTTCTCCAGACCAGGACCGCCTTGCTGTCAGCGAAGGGGATGCTTCCAGCATCTGGTGTTAAGTCGAGGTGAAAAGAAATGTAGACGACTTCAGCACTGATACTTGGCGACTATGCAGTTATTGCTTAGTGATGAGGAGATGTGTGGTTCCAATGACTGCACGGCTGGTGCCATTCACATTTGTTCTGTGTCTGACGACCAGAACACTAGTCAAAAAGCCACTTCCTTACTCACTAATTCATCTTCTTGCTGTGCCGTTTGTTTGCCTGTTGGGAGTGGCTCGCCATGGCCATTCTTACACGCCTGCGACAGCAGCGGGCTGCTTGGAAAGCTGCCTCACGCTCTTTGAGCACTCTCCGCGTGGCCACGCCCTCGGCTGTGAAAGGCTGCGAGGAAGGAAATCGGGAACCTTACAGGCTTTCTTTGGTGCGGAACAAAGCCGCAAATGCATACACAATGTATACAACTCTCGCAGAGACCAGGGTTTAACAATGCCAGTCATGCAGACTGATGCCGACCCGGTGCTGTCTTGTGGGAGTGCGATCAATTCGTGAAGGAAAGAAGCTTCTCTGATCATCTTTGCTTTTCGCACCACCTTGTCGTTCGTCACTCACATGAGGCCGGCGTACCGGAGCATTTCAATGCCCCTTTCCACCTCGCGAAGGACTTCTCGTGTGGGTTCTCGGTTGCTTTGATCCTCAACTGCATACCGCGTTTGCCGGACCTATTGCGCAAGCGCTCCGAGGATACCCGGCCCTCAAATCCCTCGGCAGAGTCCCAACCCAAAGCCCTACGTCTCGACAGCTTTTTTTCTGGATTTCAATCATAGACCCACAACCCTGAGTAGAAAGCACAGATCAAAACGAGAACCGCCAGGCCTAAACAGGGCCGAGTCTTGCACACGATTGAGATGATTCAGGGTGTCTGGTTTGGGGGGTTCTTGAATTTGTCAATAATCCGCTTCTGGCGTTCACGGCTGTCCAACTTTAAGGAGCTCGGGAAGCAGGAAGGAGGTGAACTATTGCTCAGTTCCCGACGTCCGTCATCTACCGGTAGATATAGTGGCCCAAACCTGAACTGAAATGTGTGAGACCAGCTTTCTAGGAGCGCGGCCTTTACGAGGCGAAGGGCGTGGATATGCAGTTCTGGACCCAGCTATTGTTCGCGGACAGAGGCCTCTTTTTGGATTTCGGAGTTCTGCTTTCAATTGGATTTCGAAGTCTGCAAGATCTACCAGGTCTTCACAGTGCTTGGGAGGCTGCAGCCGCTTCCTCCCTTGTACGGGAAGTGCGCAGCCAGAAGAGTAGCGAACAATGGTGTCAACCGCCGGTGGAATCCTGCGGGCTTTCGGTGTTGCATTCGGGGTCACGGGAGTGTTGAGTCAAGGAGGATACCGCAGTTCACCGCCGGATTAACATCTAGTCAGACTAACAAGGTTGCGAAGCCCCTCACGATCTGCCGACCGGGCTCCCACATCGGAAATCGAGAACAGCCCTTGCGGCTTCAGGATACAGGGTTGTGAGGGTTTAGGATAGGTCTGATTGAGTTTGTAATCCCGGGTTATGACTCAGTGCTGCGTGAAAGTCTTCAAGTTCTCGCTTGATGTCTGCTGACCAGCCCCTGGCAGAAGAAGTGAGTCCGCACTATGCCTTGTCGTTGACGCATGTTGCAGGTTTCCTCCCATGTGAAGGCCCGTTGGAGTCATGCCGCCTTTCACCCAAGCGATGGTGGATGTTTCTTTAGTGGAGCGGGAGTATGATATCGCCAGAGAAATGAAGAGACCAGGTGGAACATGACGCCACAGGGCACCGGCGCTATGGGCCAGAAGCTCGATTCCGACGAGGTCCGACCCCTAATTGTTTAGAGGTCCTTGTTGTAAGGCGTTTTGGGTTCAGAGTTCTGAGGATTTGTGTTGCAAAGCTTGTAGGGTTTTTGAAGTACGTAGGGCTTCGGGATTTCAGGGTTCATAGGGTTTCAGTCGGTTCCCCGTTTCAAGGTTTCTGCAGGGCCTGGCTGGCAGTGTTCGATGGTTTGGCATGCGCGGGTGGATTCATGTGGCCTAGGGCATGGGGCTTCGAGTTTGGCAGGTTTTAGATCATCCGCAGGGCGTGAGCAGAACGGAACTATGTTGCCTGCCTTGCTAGTATAGAGCAGTCCCCAGGCATTTGCATGATTCCTTGGGAACCTTCAAGAGCCGTGTCATCCCCTTGTGCATTCATCAGCTCGAGCCCATACATGAATCCTTACAAGCTCAAGGGACAGACGACCGAGGTGGACGTGGCCGTCATGCTCTCAGAGGGCGCTGTGGCCCGAATCGTGGATGGTTCCACGACGAAGGCACGCTTGGGATATTTGGTTGTTGGAAACCTAGACTGTATGCTGCAGGTCTGGCGGAAATCTTGCAGTTGGTTTCGTGTTTGGAAGTTGATCAAATTTGGTAGGTTCACGACTTCGACAGCACTCAATGTCAAGATACAGAGCAACCCCCAAGTAGGGACCCGCCCTCGAACATCCGTAATGAATCGATGCTACAAGTGCTACAACATGTCGGAGGACTCCGCAACTCCGGGTCTTTTAGCTGTGTAACTACGGGCTATGGGAGTGTTTGGGTACCAGGTAATTGGCACGTACGTGAGCTCACCGTTGCTGGCGCCTGAGTTGCGGTCATTCGGTCACCTCAGAGTTTTGTACAGTGCGAAACCCAAATGAAGCTTCTTGGCTCTTTACGGAGAAACTCCTGAGGCAGAGGGTTGCGGTCTAGGCTTAGGTTCAAATCACCCCATGCATGTTCATAGGTTGAGGCGACTTCGAATACTCAGAACTGTAGCTTGTCTTTGTTTCTGTGCTAAATCATAGGCGTGTCAGGCAGCGTTCCAAACTTTGCTGCCATCGCTACTCCAACTGCTGCTACCGCTACCGCTAGCGCTACCGCTACCACTACCACTACTACTACTACTGCTACTACTACTACTACTACTACTACTACCACTACTACTACTACTACTACGACGACGACTACTACTACTACTACTGCTACCACCAGCACCATCA